AATGTACCTGAAACCATGCCAACAAAAAAACAAAAAAAAAACCAAGCGAATACCATCTACACCAATGGAGTAAAATAGAAAGAAAAACAACTTGGCCAAATGAAATTAACAAAAAAAAAATGGGAGGGCAATGCTTAAAATATACGATAAAATGGGAGGATAGTGCCTAAAGAGTACGAAATCAGCAGAAAACACATCAGTGGCTGAGGAGCCCCGGGTTGAAAGCTGTGGCAGAAGGCCTAATTATTGCAGCTCAGTACTAAAACCTCGCGACCACGTCCTATCATTGTCACATAATCAAAGATGGAACTAACCCGATATACAGCATCTGCGGAAAATATGATGAAAGTGCCGACCATATTATCTTAGAATGTTCGGAACTAGCAGATATTATATACTCAAAAACATAACAAGGTAGCGATATATATGAACTGGGATATATGCAAGAAGCACAAAATCAAAGCCACTGAGAGATGGTATGAGCACTAAGTAGACACAGTTACCCAAAATAACGATGGAACTATCCTCTGGAACATGCCAATTCAAAGTGGGAGGGTAATAAAAGCCAACAGACCTGATATTATCATAAAATACAAGAAATTCAGGAAGTGTATGCTTACTGACATAGCAGCAACATCTGCGAGAAACACCTCCATAAAATGTATCGAGAAATTGGACCTGGAGATCGAGGCTGTGGGGAATGAAGACTGAGACTGTACCACTAGTAATCGGGGCTGTGAGCCTCGTGAGAAAAGGAACGCTCAATTTTACTAACACTGTCCTAGGTAGCATCAAGATACAAGTTACCCAGAAGGAACATCCCATATACTAAGAAAAATGCTATCAATTAAATGACAATTCTCCTATATGACCTAAGAACCATAGTTTAGACATGGCTCTACAGGATACAAAGCAGGAAACATAACATATACTACTACTACTACTACTACTACTACTAATATAATAATAATAATAATTATAATAATAGATGTATATATGACAGTAAATGTTATATTAAGTAGGTACATATTTCTTGTCTGTTTTAAACGGTAGGATCTTCATCTACAGGTAAAGTGATCGATAATCACATTATTGAATATATTCCTCTCGGTAAGAAACGGATCCTTTAAAATGGGAGACAACCTTCAAGTATTGACTCCCTCGGCCATAATAAAAGAAGGAAAAAACAATTCTATTGACGACAAGGCATTAACAATACCTCCATTGAACATAGATGCACAGTAAGTCAAGCCCTAGGGGGATCTGTTAAATTGTTTAAGGTCATGCACTTGGCAAAGAAACATGTAACAGTGAACGGAATATTTAATGAAGCCCAGCATTACTCATCGTGCCAAGACACTTCCAATCATATTAAAATCAGAAGCCATGAAGCCATGAGAGCCTCGTCTATCATTAAAACTTATTATTATTATTATTATTATTAGTAGTAGTAGTAGTAGTAGTATTGATGCTACTTCTAAAATAGCGTGTATTTGATTATTCACATCAGATTTCTGAAGATTATCGATGGAGATTCAATGTAACCAAACTCCTCAAAGAGTGAGCACTTTTTTCAATATGTTTGCAGACAAAAGTAAAAATTTGAATTCATCTTCTTTTCTTCGTCTTCCTCTTCTCCTGTGGTGGTTATACATTGTAGAGTCCCAGATATGGTCAAATAGTGAAACCCCAGACTAAAACAAAAACACTATTAATGTATAAAAATATTTTTTATAGTAAAAAAAGAACCCATACTTTTTTTATATAAAATATTACCAACAACAATTAATAATAGTAAAATGACCAGCAATAATTTTTATAAAAAAATGACAACCAACACACTTTATCTGTAGTTGAAGATATACAAATGCGTTCAAACTATTTAAATTTCGGAATTAATTATCCAATAGAAGTTAATATACCGCTAAACAAGATCAACTAAAACAAAACATCTTATACTTGTTTTTCTTATTATTATTCATTTCCATCTTCTTTTTCTAATTTTCTTATCCGGATTATTATTATTATTATTATTATTATTATTATTATTATTATTATTATTATTGTTGTTGTTGTTGTTGTTTTATTATTTTTCTTCCTTTGATTTCTGGCGTTTACACATTGCTTTCCGGGTCCCGCCCAGGGATCTAAGGTTAGAAATGGTATCATGACACTTTCCACTGACAAAAAAAAACAAAAAAAAATATTACGTAGATAAAGCCCTTCCTAAAGTGTGGGCTGTACTTGTCAGAACAATTTTTTTGTATTTCTTTAAGGCATGGACTTCCAGGAATCACTTCAATTAGTCTACTGCAATCTTTTCAAACCAGTCCTAGGGCTCCAACTACAACAGGGATTGTTGATGTTCCCATATGCCACATTTTCGTGATTTCTATTTCAAGGTCCTTGTATTTTGACAGCTTTTTGAATATCTTCAAACTGATAATAAGGAGGCACCGTGCAGTCACCAAGTCAAAGGGACTGCCATATCAATGAAGTTGCTAGCGTTAATAGACAAAGTTCTCCTTAGTGTGTGTGGCACCGTTTTTGTTTATTCTTTCAATGTGTTGTTTTGTCTTTTATAACAATTATTTTTTTTCTATTTCAATTTCCATTTTTATTTTTATTTTCAAATTCCTTATTTTACAATTTCCTTTGATTTCTTTCTGTTTTTTGACAATAATGTCCGGCCTATTTGTTTCAATTTTTCTGTTCGTATGGTATAATCCCAGAATGGTGACCTTCTATTTCTGTAACCGGCGCAGGCCGAATACCTTCCTGACATTTCCAAAGTGTTTGCATAATTTTGACGATTTTTATAAAAAAAAAAAATGATTTAAATCACTGATGGTCTTGCGCTGCAAGAATAAAGCCTTCATTTCAGACTTTAATCCAGATGCCGTAACCATTCCATTTATTTGCACGTTTATTATTATTATTATTATTATTTATATTCAGTGGCTGTTGTATATACATTTCCTTTCGTATTACAACCAGAGACCTAAGGCCAGAAATACCTTCCTGACATTTCCCACTGATAATTTTTGTGAAAAAAAAAAAAACAAATTTAGATCACTGATATATATATTGGCCCATTCCATCATGTCGAGTTTTATATTCAGTGGCTTGAAGATCTGTTTCTTGACATCTGCATTTGTGGATCAACACAATTTTCCGTATGTGTGCTTCGTAATTTCTAGTTAGCAAGCATTGTGCAACATGATAAAGAGCTAAGGTTCCAGCTTATTATTATTATTATTTAAAATTTAAAAGATAGTTCGCACAGCGGATTGGTTGTTATAAACATCCAATCGGGTGTGCGGAAAATGTAATCTTTCTTCGTCCAATTCATTAAAGGCCAGAGTAGCTGTTAGTGTTTGATTGAGAGGGGGGGGAGTCAGGGATTGATCTCCCCTGATTGGTTCGACTTGGTGATGGGGAGTAGGATGTTGAAAGACCCGAAACTCCCTGATGAACCTAGTCAAAAAACATCACTGACGACCCCCCTCGGGCATCTACTGAAGAGCGTATTTTTTAATATTACTACTACTACTACTACTACTGCTACTATTATTATTATTATTATTATTATCATTATTATTAAATAATAATAATAATAATAATAAATGGTATGAACACCACCCAGACCCGGTTACGGAGATAGGACCTGTTACAATTCTATGGGACTACACAATACACACTAACAGAACAATCAAAGCCAACCGCCCAGATATTTTAATTAAAGACCACAAACAAAAAAAGCGTCTCCTTATTGATAAGGCAGTCCCTGCTGACTGCAATGTATCTTTGAAGATATTCAAAAAGCTGTCAAAGTACAAGGACCTTGAAATAGAAATCTCGAAAATGTGGCATATGGGAGCATCAACAATCCCTGTTGTAGTTGGAGCCCTAGGACTGGTTTGAAAAGATTGCAGTAGACTAATTGAAGAGATTCCTGGAAGTCCATGCCTCAAAGAGATACAAAAAAATTGTTCTGACAAGTACAGCCCACAGTTTACAAAGGGCTTTATCTATGTATTATTTTTTTTTTTTTGTCAGTGGAAAGTGTCATGATGCCATTTCTAACCGGAAAGAAATGTGTAAACGCCAGAAAATAAAGAAAATAATAATAATAATAATAATAATAATAATAATAATAATAATAATAATAATAATATGACGACGGCCAGCAGACTCTCTGCTTTAGTGAACGCGGAAATACCTAAATCTCCAGTATACACCTAATTAACTGTGCAGATAAATGAAAAAATCTCGCAAAGCCATATATACATATCTTGCAAATATATATATATATATATATATATATATATATATATATATATATATATATATATATACAATACAAAATGCGTGCGTAGTGTGCACCAGTGTGTGTGTGTGCGCGCGTGTGGATGGGTGTGGATGGGTGTACTGTTTATATATGAAAATATTTTTGATGTTCACTGAAATAACTAAGATAATTCCCCCCACATTTATTGGATAATCAGCCGTCCTTTTATAAGCCAGTCAAATCTTTGTCATGCAATGTGACTGTAAGTTCAAACTCGAATATCACTTCAAATGAACGATATATTTGTTTTCATTCTTCACTCCGATTTGAAAAAAATATTCGATTTTTTTTTTTGCAGCAAGGTGACTTGTCTGATGTAAAGTTTGAAAAGCCACCGTTATGACAGTTGTAGTTCAAGGTTTATCTAAATGGAATCAGATGATCGGCTGCCAAAATCGAAACAAAACAATAGAATGAAACGTGTCTCTGTGCTCCGCGCAGACATAAAAAAACATTTAAATTTCGTGAAAAAAAAATATCATTTAAATATTTACAAAAGAAAAGGACAGTCATGCGTGTGTATTTTAAATTTATTTCTTCGTTTTAGTTCCATGATAGACTGTTTTGCCCCTGAACATCAAACTCGTAACGTGGATACATGTCTCCGATGAATTCAAATAGATTCAATAAAGAAGCCGTAAAAGAAACAATGTTATCAACATTTTTTTTTTCCTTTTATTCAGTCGTATTATTTTCTTTTATTAATTCTTATCTATTTGTTAACCTTCTCCCTCTCTTTCCTTTTCATCTTTCATTCCATGTTTTGTTTTTTTTTCTTCAGTTTTTTTCACTTTTAATTTACCCCTTTCTCTTTCTCTTGTTTCGTTTCTTTTTTTTTTCTTTCAAGCTTTCCATTCTCGGTATTCTTCCTGTAATTTTATTTTTTTTTTCTTTCTTTAGTTCTCATTCTTTCTTTGTCCAACTCTTTATTGCTTTCCTTTTCCGATGTTCGTCCTTTACTTAATTCCTCTTCATTCTTTCTTTCTTTCTTTCTTTATTTATTTATTTATTTCTTCAAGCCTATTTTTTCCTTTCTGGATAATCTTCCTGTATTTCTTAATTTTTTTCTTTCTTTCTTTCTTTCTTTCTTTCTTTCTTTCTTTCTTTCATTGTCCAACTCTTCCCTTTTCGAAAATTCTTTTTTCTTTCTTTCTTTCTTTCTTTCTTTCTTTCTTTTCTTTCTTTCTTCAATCTTTTGTTTTCCTTTCTAGATATTCTTCCTGATTTTTTTTGTTTTGTTTTTTGTTTTTTTTTCTATCTTTCTTTTTCCAAATTTTTCTTCTTTTTTTTTCTTTCCTTTTTTGGGTATTCTTCCATTATTTCATTACTCTTCTTACTTTCTTTCTTTCATTTATTCATTCATTCGTTTGTTCAATCGTTTGTTCGTTCAATTTATTTATTTAGATATTTTTGTTTTTCTGCGTTATCTCCCTTCTATTTTTTTTTCGTTCTTTTTCTTTTATTATTTACTTTGCTCTTTTTCCATCTTGATTCCTTCCTTTCATTTTTTTTGTTTTTTTTTTTCCACTTTGATCACGTATTATTATTTATTTATTTTTCTTTTATTTACATATTCTTTTATTCATTTGATTTGTTTTCACTTTATTTTTTTCTTTTCTTTTCATCCTGTTCATTCTCCTTTCACTTCTTTATTATTGCTCTCTTTCTTTTATCATCCCTGCTATCTCGATAATGTTCCTTTTATTCTGTTGTTTTACAATTTCTTCCTTTCTGTTTCCTTTCTTTTAGTCGTTTGTTCTTTCTTTCGGCCTATCTCTTTCTTTCTTTTTGTTTTTTCTTTCTTTCTTTTTTTCATTTTCTTTCTTTCTTTTTGCCATTTTCTTTCTTTCTTTTTGTCGTTTATTTTCACTATTTATTTCCTTCTGTTTTCTTTCGTTCTTCTTATTTATTACACGTTTTCATTCTTTTCGTTTTATCTGTTTCCTTTTGTACTTGCTTTTTTTCTGCCTTTCTTTCCGTTTGCTTTCTTTTTATTTACTTTTTTTCATTTTCTTCCTGGTTTCTTTTGTTTCATCGAATTCTCTTTCTGTTTTCTACTTATTTTTCTTTAACTTCATCATTTTTTCCTTTTCTTTTCGTCATCAATTATTTTTTTATTTCATCAAAATTCCTTTGTTTCTTCCTTTTTCCATACATTCTTTTTTTTACCTTTCCATAACATTTATTCCTTTTTTTTTCTTCTTTATTTTATGTTTATAGGATCGAACTTGATGTTTATGTGTCGCTTCTGCATTTTTAATTTCTTTTCTCTTCCATTCTATTTGTCATATTTTCATTTCAGGTCTTTTCAGCCTTTTTAGCATAAATGTCTGTGATACGAACTGGAGATGTTATCATCTATTAAGTATACAATTTAAATATCTGGGAAGTGTTTAAACAGAATATGGAAAACATGACACCGAAATCCGAACGCAAATTGGATTAACGAAAGATGCATTCTTCAAGAAAAAGAAAGTACGAAAAAAACGTTGTTAGAAACAAATAAAATAGTGTTAAATTGATATGTAACATCAACCCTCTTGTATAGCAGTGAATGCTGGACAATCTGACGCATTCTTTATCTCGTCTTCTCCCGGCCGTGTGTTGCTAAATGATTTGGGTCTAGAGACTTCAACACTGATAATATTAACCTATTTTTATTAATCATGTCGACATATACTAACTAAATATCAAATGGTGAGGAGGGGGAACACGAAAGAGAACACGTCTGCATGTCTTGACGGTTAAGAAACAACTTACAGAAAACCTTTCTCTTTCCATCATTTCCACGCTAGCTTAACCATTCAAAATCGACTTTCTTATTATGTCTTACATATGACCTCGAAGGTCAACCTCCGTAAGTCAGAGCTAAGATCTACTTCCTACTGCTAAACTATTATGTAACAAATCTCATCACAGATGAAGAGAAAACGGGAAAGATGATTCTACAGAGGAGTACTAAAAATAGCAGGGATAGACCATGTAAGGCACAAAGAACTCTTTCAAATATTGGAAACGAAGTAGCCATTTACGTAGATGGGCTGAGGAATTTATAGGCTGACTAGATGCTGAGAAGAGTGATGCTGGAGCTGTGAAAACTTACTTGCATTATCCTCAACTCATCATATTAATAACTGCATTTTTTTCTTTCCAGGTAAACTGGCATCTGATTGCTCAAAGAAGACTTCAAATGTAACTAGTAGGGACTTCTCTTGAAAATCGTCAAAATTTGGCATTGTGGTGTTATCAAGTACCTGGAGAAAAAAGATTTAGACAACAAGGACATTCATGCTGACATGGATGCAAGGTTAAAGGATGACACTCCAGTTTTTTCAACGGTTTAAAAATGGGCAACAGAATTTAGTAGAGGAAAGGAGAGTCTTGAAGGTAACCCAAGATCTGGGGGTCCTGCAACTGCCACCACCGAGGAAAGCATTGATCGGGTTCATCACATGGTTACATGTTGGCTTGGTGCCACGTTTTCTGACACCTGATCAAAAATGCACCAGACTGATCACATTACATTAAAATCTGATATTGTTTGAAGCAGATTCAGCTGGTTTCCATGAACGTGTCCTAACCCAGGACGAGCGCAGTATTCATTACTTTGAGAGAATGATAAATAGAAAACGCATTCAGTGGCGACACCTGTACTCACCTGCTTCAAAGAAGGACAGGGTCGTTTCATATACAAGGAAGTTTATGGCCTAGGGTTTTTGGGATGCAAAAGACTGTGTTTACTATCTTCATTATGGGAATACCATCAATGACGAGTATATCGCCAACTTGCTGTGGCAGTTACGAAAGGCTAACAAGAACAAACTCCTAGGAAAACAGACAAAAGTGGTATCGTTTCATCAGGTCAATGTTCCAGCATACACAACGTTGGATTCAGTGGCTGTTCCGTGTGACTATGGCTTTAGAATATCTGATCCCTCTCCCTACTCTCCTTATCTGATTGTCATCTGTTCCTAAACATGAGAAAACACTTGTCTGGCAACAGTATAGAAGTGATGATCACGACGTATCTGCTGTTGATGACTTTTTTGTCCAACAGGATGAACGGTCTTCTTTTAACAGTCGGAATTAATGCATGCAAGATTTCACACCTGTATCGTCACTTTTTCATAATCAGCATATGAACTTTTCAGCCCTTTACCGCGTATACTCAGAATCAGAAACAGACAGATAAAATTTCCGAAAAACATAAAGAGAAAAGAAGACCGGAAGAATTTGACACTCACTTATCGAAGAAAAAACGGAGAGGAGATAGTGGCCCACCAACCTGACTGAATATGGGTGGCAGATCAGGGATTGGGATTATTAGCAATAGGATAAAAGTTCCAAGAGCTTAGAAGGGATAGGTGGAGAGCCATTCTCGCCCACGTCCTAAAGTTAAACAGTACATTGAAAAAGGAGATCGTTTTCTGTTCTTATATTAATTATGATTCTTTCTGTTTTTAAATGACGTTGCAATATTTTCTCAAGTTGTCTTCTAAATTTCTCTTCTCTCTTCTAATTACATTCAGATTTTTCATTTCTGCTTTATCACTTCCTTTCATTGATTTTTTTCTTTTATCTACTTTTTCTTCATTATATTTCTCTATCATTCCGTCTTAATCTTTCATTTACGCTTTTTTTTATTTATCCTTTTTTACATCTTTATTATTTTCTTTTATTGCTTCTTTTCTATTATTTTTTTTTTTTCCTTCTTTTCTTATTTCCTTTTCTCTCCCTTTTATCCAATTTCCCTTATTTTTCTTTTTAACTTCTATTTATTCTCTTTCATTCTTCTCCGTCCCCATCATTTTTATTTCCATTCGACTTTTCCACTTATTCTTTATTTCGTATTATATCTTTTTCTTTTCTTCTTTTTCTTCTTTTCTTCTTCTATTTATTTTCTTTTTTCTTTATATTATTTCTTCTTTATTTTATTCCATTTTTCCACTAAAAAATAGTCTCTATATTTTTTTTTTAAAATTCGATTTCCTTCCCTTCATAATTTTTCTTCCTGCGGTTTGTATTTTTTTTTATTTGTTTTGTTTTTTTTTATTATTATTTTTCTGCTACATTTCCTTCTTTTTTTATTCTTTAAATCATTCTTTTCCTCTTTTTTTCATCTCGTCTCATTCTACTTTCTTCTATGCCTTCTTTTTCCAATTTTCTTTTCTTTTCTGTTTATTTGTTTTTTTTTTTTACTTTATTTCTTTTTCTTTCCTGTGTCTCTTTTACCATAACTATTTTAAATATTTTTTCTCTGAATTTTATTCCTTTTTTTCTTTCTTTTCCTGTTTCCTCCTTATTTATTTTCTGCATTTTTTCGTTCTTATTTCATTATTACTTGTAACACTCTTCTTTTTTTCCTTCTACTGTTTCTTCTATCTTTTTTCATCTCTACAGTAGCACTCTTTTCTTCTCGCCTCAAACCCCCCCACCCTCCTTTCATTTCCGCACTTTCCCTGTCCATGTCTTTTCCTTTCAATCTTTCACATTTCACGTTTTAACACGTTTTGCTTCACTTTTATTTTTTTCGCCATTTCTCCTTTAATTTTGTTTTCTTTCATTTTCTTTCTTTTTTTTTTCTGACTTTCTTTCAATTGTTATCTTATATTTTCGTTCTTTTAATATTAAATTTTTTGTCTTCCCTTATTTTGCAAATTCTTTGACAAGCGAAAAAAATCAATTTTAATTTTCGTTTCATCTTTCCAGCTGTCGCTAATATTATTATAACTTTAACACTCAAAGATTAAAATCGAAAATTTGGCCTGAGATCCATCTTTGCTTTTTTTTTTTTTTTTTCTGCTTTTGCTTTTTTTTTATTTTTAATTCAGTTAGAGATTTCTATTTTATTTTAAGTGCTGTTACTTTTTGCTTTTTAATCATTTTTATATTTTTTCCCGCAACACTTCTTATGCATACGAAACAATCACCAGACATATGAGATTAGAACACTGGGTTAAGACGGAAAGAAAATGGGATTATAAAAAGTTTAGTAATTTTTCTCTGTGAGAACGAGAGTGTGAGCGAATGAGAGCGCATGCGCGACACGTAAGTCTCTTCGTGTTCAACATCTTTCCTATGAATCATTTTTTTTTCAAAGTTTTATTTTTTTTTCCTCCTGACCGCTGCTTCTAGACTTCAGGAGAGAATAGAACTAGATTTGATATATGAAGATGATACTGAACTGTATTGGCTCAAGACCTCCTTTTGT